AACTTTATCATTACGTTCATTATTATAATTTTTCATTAGCACCCTCTTTCATATCAAGAACATTAGTAACACCAGTATCATAAGTATTGCGACTGTTGTTGTTAGTGTTAGTAGTGTACACACTACTGTCTTTTTCGTTATCATTATCTTTATCACTATCATCATAACAATCATTACTTTAAGCTTTTTAATCATCTTCCTTGCTACCATTGATCTATATCGCAGCATCAACTTCCTTCAGAATCTACTCGCGTTCTGGCTTGAGCTCCTCCGCAGCCTCAAGTGCAACGGAGAACCCCGGATGCATGCGAGTCACCTCCACCACGAGCACCAGCTGATTAGACAATCCTTCCGGCCCGGCCTAGTACGTCTCGACATCACATTTAATTCAGCGAAGAGCGACAAACTAATGACTAATTATCATAATTAAGTCGTACCATCCATATGGCTTCAAAACTAGTCAGATATTTCTTAATCATAACCTTATCGCCTATGACAAGTTTGGTCTGCAATAAAAATAGTGGTCATATTACACGAAAACCATAATTCAGAACTTCCCCGATCACATCTGTAACGGTGAGACAGATTGATCGGCAATATATCTATTTATTTATTTATCTTTCTTTGTCCCATTCCTCTGTCTTCCGCTTCCTCTAGTTCACCCTCTCCCTCTCCGCCTGTCTCTCCCTTTCCTCCCTTCCAACCCACGTAATTCCTCCAAAGGCAGCATGACACAAAGAGACCAAAGGCCCGCCCTCCAAATCCCCCCCCCCCCTCTGGAAATAATAAAGAGGAGACAAGAAAGGAAAAAGGTGCGAGGGCCTCCTCGGCGTCCGTCATCCGCCCGTCCATCCTACCTGGGCTCGAGCCTTCGCCCTAAACTCACCATTGGTGGGAGAGGAGTAGAGCTTCTTGGTAAGCTCGAGGATGCCGCCGAACTCACTATCCAAGCGCTCTATGCCCTCCCCACCGCGCAGCTCCATGAGCTCGCGCAGTTGCTTGAGCGTGACGCCATACTGCGCCGGTCGTCCGTCAATGGTGGCCATCCTGCACGCAGCTCACGCTCCTCTCTTGCACACCACGCTCACGGCACCCCACTACACCGTCCCTGCAAGCAAAGGCAAAAAAGGGTTAGACATGCGAGAAAAAAATAAACTGACGTGCATTATCTTCAGCGAAACACCGCTGCTTAGTAACAACAGAGCGATCCACCCAATGCTTGGAAGGTTCTTTTTTGAAGGGAAATTCTGCAACAGGTTACATGATCGTCTTTCCTCTCTCTCCTCAAAAGAAGTTGAAGCCACGAACGCGGGCTCTCCGGTTCGGTGGACAGCCTCCCTTCCCGGGTTCCAGCGTACCGGCAAAGTAATACCATGGGTCGTATAGGCATGTAGCGATAATGAACTCTCAAAAGGTGAAGGGGCGTCAGGCCATATATCTCCGAGTTATATGCACTGATGTACAGCATGTTGACATTTATTTACACTTAAACAAATTAAAGCCATGCCTACGAAATCGGGCAAACTCCTTACTCAACGACCTTTCAATGCACATGGGAATCGCTCTTGGCCGAAATGATGGCGGGGTTGCCAACAAAATAAACAATTTCTGATACTACTCAATGGATATATTATTCTACATTGCGCAACTATTCAGCATTTTCAGTTTTGTAAACACACTTTATTTATAAAGTGTATTAATTCATGTGAGTGTGTGTAAAACTATCTCCGTGTAAATTAATACAACTTGCAATTAACATTCCCCCTTCCCTCCTTGCAGCCGGAGGGAACCAAACAAATTACAAAGGAAATGTAAACCAGACAGCAGACTAGAATGGCCACTTGAAATTACATTTGTTAGATTATTACAATACTTCTTTTTAATCGTCAGAAGTCGTTGACATAACCTTTTCATGCTGCTATCCACATAATTAAAAATCAAGTAAATAAAGAAATATCCAAAGAAACCAAACAAATTCCGCTAATTTTTCAAAACAAATTTCACAATACATACACCAGGCAACTTTCCTGATTCACAAAAGACCCTCCGACATTAAACTATAACGCCCAAATCTCAACAGTCGTCAGCGTAAGTTCCTGTATAATGCATGGATAAACGTTTGCGAGCACCATGGGCCGCATGCACACGGGCGAGAGTCTAATCCTGCGTGCATGTGCTTGCGTGGGCGTGTCCAGTTCGAATTCCCCGCCAAGAATCTCTTCGCTGCGTCCGAGCAAGACGTTTCCTCAAGGCCGGACGTCCTAGTGAGGCCCCGAGGGTGACTCACGCTCGGCTCTCTCACTGCACACTTCACTCTTCGAGGCTTGTTTTACACTCACGTGTGTGTGTGTGTGTGTGTGTGTGTGTGTGTGTGTGTGTGTGTGTGGTTGTGTGTGTGTGTTGTGGTGTGAATGTGCGTGTGTGTATGTGTATGTGTATGCGTGTGTGTATGTATGAGCGTGTGTGTATGTATGAGCGTGTGTGTATGTATTGAGCGTGT